AAATCTTAGCTGAATATTCTATTATAATAACAATTATTTAATATACTTCTTAAATAAGAAAGATTCAGAATAGTTTTCTTAGAAATCTAGGCGCTACAGGCAGATAGCAACAGAAGAGCAAGTATATATGCTTAGCATAATTATAAGCAGCAATAATTCAAACTGCTTTAATATTGCTGAATAAAGCATTTAGATATTAAAAGGAAAACTTAGCAATAATACTTTTCATTATTTCTTATTATTTATACTAAGCACTATAACCAGAGATATAAATAAGAAATAATACTCTTTTAGCTATTAGTATAAATATCTAGATAATATTGAAAATACTTCTTAAATAATAGAAGAATTAAGCTAAAGTAAATAATCTAGCAATTTATTAGAGTTTTTTGTAAATAATAAACTCAATAGCTTTATAAAAGTTTGAAAGAAAAGATTCTCCTTTAGCATTAGATAGAATAAGAAAACAATATAAATTAAATATCTTATTCATAAAATAGAGCTAGAAAAGCTCTTTATCTGCATTCTCTTACAAAATATTAAGATATAACAAGATGAAAACTCTTAAATCAGCTTACTTTACAATCTATATTACAAGCTAGCATAAATCTTCTATGCTTATTATAGCTACAGAATATATTTCTTGGAAGAAGTATAGCATAAATAATTTTCTATTAGAGAATTAGAATAAATTCTTTAAGCTATTAAGAAATAAAAGCTTTGCTTCAGAGAAATTCTTAATAAGTAGTATAATAATGCATATATAGAGCTATTAAATAACTGCTTTAAGCAATATATAAATAAGAAAATAGAATAGTAGCAATATAGAATAATGCTTTATACAATTTATATTAATAATAAGATTTATAATTAGTATTAATAAAAGAAAGATTAGAAATAATAATGATATAAATAAAAGCAAGCTAAAAAGCTTGCTTAAGAAGCAGCAAAGCAAGCTTAGAGAAAGAATAAGCAGCTCTTAATAATTTTAAAAGATTAGAATTGCTTGTAAAAGAACTACAGATAATCAGATTAGAACAGTTCCTATATAAAGCTTTTAAAGCAAACTATGCTTATATTAAGCTTAATATATACATTTAAGAATACAAGTATAGCATACTATTGAATAATAGCGCTTAGAAAAACTTTATATCTCTATATATTATTAATTAAGTATAACTACAATAGAAATAGAAGAAGCAGCTATATACTCTTAGTATTATAAAAGAATAATCTATTGCATATAATCAAGAAGTAATTAATAAGAAAACTAATTATCTATCTGTTTTGATTTAAGAATATATAATTAAAATTTCCTTTAATATTACGAATATAGTATAGCATAAGTTGATTATAGAACTTCTATAGCTCAAGAAGTATAATTCTCAAATTGATTAAACTACTAATTAGATTTTATAAAAGCAAGCTATATTCAGAGAGATAGTTGCAATTAATAATACAGAATAGAAGTTAGTTATTAAAGAATATTCAGAAAAAGAAGCTTTAAACAACTTTATATATACTTTCAAGTTAGCAAGGCTAGCAGTTTAAGAAGAAGAATTTAATAATAAGCGAATTCAAACAGTGCTAGAATGCTAGCAGATTAATAAAATAATAAAAGCAAGATTCTTAGTAAGTTAGTTCGCTTCAAAGCAACAAGAAAAAGCTTCAGAATATGAATTATAAGTTTATACAAAAAACTCGAAATCAAGCTCTTAAGCAATCAGTTCAGCCTGAAGCAAACGCTTAAAGCTTTCAAAAACGCTATTAAAAATAACGAAAGAAAAGAAGTATGCTTAATAATATCTACTATTTCTCCAGATAGCAGAAATAGTATATAAATTAGAACTAATACTTGCAAGTATACTATAGAAATATTATAAATTCAAGAAATTATTCCAGAAAGAATTAAATATAGAATTGCTAGAATACAGCTTATATAATCATAAGATCTTACTATAAAAAGAAAAACAGCTCAAATTTTTCCTTATTTATAAACTAAATAAAGTATAACTAGAAATACTTAAGAAATATTTCAATAAGAATCTCAAAAAGAAATATATATAATTATTATAATTACTAGCAGAATACTTCATTTTATTTATACTTAAGAAGAATAATAAGCTTAAACTATATATTAATTATAAGCAACTTAATAATATTATAATTAAGAATTAATATTTATTACTACTTATTAAGAAATTGCGAAATAGATTGCAAGAAATATAGTAATTTATAGCTTTAGATCTGAAAGAAGCTTACAATCTAATCAGAATAAAGAAAGAAGAAGAATAGAAAACTGCTTTCAGAATATATTATAAATACTATAAATATTTAATTATGTTTTTCAGTTTAATAAATATTTCAGCTTTATTTCAAAAAATAATTAATTATATTCTATATAAGTATCTAAATTAGTTTATTATTATATATCTTAATAATATTCTTATTTACTCTTAAATGCTGAAAAAGTATAAGAGATATGTAGAAATAGTATTGTAAATACTTTAAAATGCAAAACTTCTTATAAAATCTACAAAAAATCATTTTCATATATAAAAAGTTAATTATTTCGAATTCATAGTCAAACTAGAATATATTAAGCTATAGAAAAATAAGATAGAAGCTATTAGAAATTAGCTAATTCTTAGAAATATTAGAAATATTAGATTTTTTCTTAAATATATTAACTTTTATAAGCAGTTTATTAAGAACTACAGCTGAATTGCATATTCTCTTACAAACCTTACTAAGAAAGAGCAGCTTTTCGAATAAATCTTCAAAGCATAAGAAGCTTTTAATAAGATTATTAAGCTTATTACTTCAGAGCTAATTCTGTATAAAGCAGATTCTTATAAATCTTTCAAAGTTGAAATCGATATATTAGAATATATACTTAGAGAATAATTTAATTAGTAAGATAATCAAAAGTATCTAAGAATTATAAGCAACTTTTTAAGAAAGTTGAATAGCTTAGAAATTAATTATAGAATTCCAGATTAAAAGCTTATAGCAATAATAAAAGCTTTTAAGAAATAGCAGTATTATCTTATTAATATATAGTATTTAATTATAGTTTATTCAAATTATAAAAATCTAATTATATTTATAATAATTAAGATTTTGAATAAATAATAAATCAAATAAGCAGAATTCCTCTTATAATTTAATTTTAGAATTATATACTATAAAAGCTTAGAAAATGAATAAATAAATGCTCTTAGCAGAAGATCAGACTATTGAAATGCAGATTTTTTAAATATATAGAATATTTTTGCTTAAAACAAATCAGGAAATCTTGTTAATGCATATAGGAAGCTGAATACTGCTTTCAGAATTGGATTCTCGAAGAAGAATCCAGAATTAATAACTTTAGATGAATAAAACAATTTTATCAAGAATATATATAGCATATTAGCGCATGAATATCAGAGAATTAAAGCAATCTATGAATATATTAGAAGATACTGAAACTTACTAAGCTTAAGAAAAAGAATTGAAAATATTTTATAATAATATAATAGCTGCAAGAAGAATAAAGCAGAAAAATATAAGCTTTATAGATTACTATATTCCTTATTAGTACTTATAACTATTTAGCAATCCATTAATCTAAACTTTATTATCAAGCTATTTTTCTTATAAGAACTCTTAACTAAAATACAATATAATAGCATTCTAATAATAATTTGCAAACTGAATAAGTATACTTACTTTCTTTTTTATAAGGAAAGTAATATAGCAGAAGAACTTATATATATATTCCTTAGAACAATTATTGCTAATTATAATATATTAGAAGAAGTAATTTCTAATAAAAATAGAAAGTTCAATTTAAAGTTTTGAACTTTGCTTATGAAATAGCTCAGAATATACTACAGAATATCTATAATATTTTATCTGCAAACAGATAAATAGATAAAAAGAATGAATTAAATTATTAAACAATATTTTCAATACTATATTAATTAGAAATAGAATAATTAAATTAATCTATTGCTTCTTATATAGTTTGCTTATAATAATACAAATATAAATATAATAAAGAAATTATTATTCTTCATATTCTATAAATATAATTCAATAGCTTATTACAAGATATTGCTAGAAGTAAATACAGAAGCTGCAAATAAAAGAATTAAAAAGATTAAGAAGATTTAGAAGAAATTTTAGTTAGAATTATAATTTATTTAGAAATAAATAATATAGTATATAAATTCTAAAAAAATTAAGAAATTAATTCTATAAGAAGAAGATAAGATCTATTTATTTTGAAAAAATATTAAAATAATTAGATCTAGCAATAAACTTGATTATAAGAAGTTAGAATTATTCAAAATCTTATAATAAATCTTTCCAGTTAATTACAAATTAGCATTATCTTATAAAATAAGAATGCATTCAGTTTTTCATATCTTATTGCTGAAACTAGCAGTATAGAAAATACTTATAGATAATATAGCAGAAGTAGAGAATAATAAACTAGAGTATGAAGTGGAAAAGATTCTTAAGCATAAAAGCATAGATAGCATAAGAGAATATCTTATTAAATGAAAAGATTACTCAGCAAGCGAAAATTCGTGGAAATTATAGAGAAATGTTAAAAATGCTTAGAAAAAAATAGCTAAGTATTGGAAAAGGAAAGAAACTAGCACTTAGGATGATCACTCTGCTCCGAATCAAGACTCAGAAGCTTCAGAAATCTCATCTTCCAACTCAGAACAACCCTCTCAAGCATCAGAAGAACTTTCATTACCCTCAGCACTATTCACATCGCTTAAAAAGAAATAGTTTAATATACTATTAGGAGATTAGAAGAGCTCTTCCGAAACCAAAGCAGAAAAACTATTAAAAAGAGAATTAACAGGAATACAAGCCTGCTGCTCCCTTACCAGCTCCTCCGCTTCTATACAATCAAGCTTCTCAATTGTATTCAAACTACAGCGCACTGCATATACTATTTTCTCAGCTTATAGCTTGTGCTATTTCCGCAATCAGCATATCTTAGCTGTAGCACGCTCTAGCTTCTTTTCCGCATTATCAAGAGCAGCTTCAGCAGCGGAATACTGAGCTATAATCTTTTCTACTTGCAATAGCAATAAACTGTATATATTACAATTCCTATATTTGTGCTTAATGCACTTCATACAGCGTAACAAATTCTCCTTAGAAGCAAAATAATGAGCTTTGCAGCTTCTATAGAAGGAATAAGTTAGCATTTCAATATAATAAGAAAGAGCAATAAGCTAGAAAGAGATAGATTATTCTATCTTTTTATAACGAACTTTATCAATTCTGTTTATTATCCGGATTAGGAAAGCAAGATCATATACAGAAAACTTGCTAGAATATTTATAGAAGATTATTGAGAATAATAACTAATAAGAGAGAGATAATATTATAACTTATTCAATATACAGATTACAAGCAAATAAGAATCAAATATTATAACTCAACATTAGACAATCAACAAGAATTATACAACTTAGAATTAGAATTACAAGCTGCAATCAATTAGAAAAGAACTGAAGTAGTTAATAATCAATTCTTGCAGTTCAAGCAATGAACTGCAAAGATCAACTACTAACTCTTATAGTTTATACTGAAAAGCTGAATATATAAAGATGTATTCATTATTATTAGATAGATTTAGTATATAGCTTTTCAGTTATCAATCTAAGTATCAGATTACTCTTCTATTCTGATAGCTTCAAAAGCAGTAAATACTTGCACAATTACTCAGTTATATTTCTGTATTTAAAGCTTATACTTAGCACTGCTCTTTTTAGCATAAATTCTTTGTATACTTGGGAATCTTCGGATTGCTGCAGTGCTTATTACAGCAGAGCATACTTTTTGTACTATATAATTCAGTTTACTAAGAAATCTAAGAAGATTATTCTTATAGGAATTCATTTCAAAAAGAATACTCTTATCTAATATAAGCTTTCTCTATATAATTACTTGAAATATTAGAATAATTCTGATATGCATATTCAGAATACTAAGAATATATTTAATTTCTTTGCAAGCTTTAAAAAAGCTTTTAAAGAAATCTTTAGCAATTCCAATAAAGAATGTATTACAGCTTAGCAGCTTATAAATCTCAAGCAGACTAAATCAGCTTCTGCTTATATAATTAGATTTAAGTAATTCTTAGCAAGATTTCTATAGAAAGATAAGAATCTTATAGAATATTATTATAAGGAACTTAAGAATAATATTAAGAATAAAATCTTCAAGCAGAATTAGCTAGAGAACTTTGCAATATTCTCTAATCAAGCAATCTATATTAATAATTATTTATATAAATAATGAATAGAGAAATTCAAAAAGAAAGAAAGCTAGATTTGAAGATTTTTAGCTAATATAAGCAAGAAATTCTAATACAAAAATAGCAGTTGATATAGCAGTATAGCTTAGAGCAGTACTATGCATGCTAGTTTTATGAAACTCGATATAGCTAATAAGCAGTATAATAAGAAAAATAGCATTACTTGCTATAATTGCAATAAATAGAGATATATATTATATAACTGCTATTAACTTTAGAAAAACAAATAGCAATTAGTTCAGAAAGAATGCTAAGTAAATATTACTTAGTAATAGAAATCTAATCAACTAAGCAAAAATATTCCTTTAAAGCAAGTATCAAACTCTATTAATTATAGAAGTTTTAGCTGAATATTCTGTTATAATAATAACTGCTTAATATATTTTTCGAATAAGAAAAGCTTAGAATAGTTTTCTTAGAAATCTAAGCGCTATAAGCAGATAGCAATAGAAGAGCAAAGATATATGCTCAGCATAATTATAAGCAATAGCAACTCAAATTGCTCTAATATTACTGAATAAAGCATTTAAATGTTAAAAGAAGAATTTAGCAATAATATTCTTCATTATTCCTTATTATCTATACTAGATATTATAACTAAGAATATGAATAAGAAATAATATTCTCTTAGCTATTAGTATAAATATCTGAATAATATTGAAAATATCTTTTAAATAATAAAAGAATTAAGCTAAAGCAAGCGATCTAGCGATTCATTAGAATCTTTTATAAATAGCGAATTTAATAGCTTTATAAAAGTTCGGAAAGAAAGATTTCTCTTCAGTATTAAATAGAATAAGGAAATAATATGAATTAAGCATTTTATCTATGGAATAAAGCTAGAAAAGCTCTTTATTTATATTCTCTTGCAAAATATTAAAGTATAATAAGATAAAGATTCTTGAATCAGCTTACTTTACAATCTATACTACAAGCTAGCATAAATCTCTTATGCTTATTATAGCTGCAGAATGCATTTCTTGGAAAAGATGCAATATAAATAATTTTCTATTAGAGAACCAGAATAAATCCTTCAGATTATTAAGAAATAAGAGCTTTACTTCAGAAAAGTTCTTAACAAGCAGCATAATAATATATATATTAAGCTATTAGATAACTACTTTAAACAATATATAAATAAGAAAATAAAGTAGTAGCAATATAGAATAATACTTTATATAATTCATATTAATAATAAGATTTGTAACTAGTATTAATAGAAAAAAGATTAGAAATAATAATAATATAAGCAAAAGTAAGCTAAAAAGCTTGCTTAAGAAGTAGCAAAGCAAGCTTAGAAGAAGAATAAGTAGCTCTTAATAATCTTAAAAGGCTAGAATTGCTTATAAGAGAACTGCAGATAATTAAACTGAAATAATTCTTATATAAAGCTTTTAAAGCAAACTATGCTTATATTAAGCTTAATATATATATTTAAGAATATAAGTATAGCGCATTATTGAATAATAATACTTAAAGAAACTTTATATTCTTATATATTATTAATTAAGTATAATTATAATGGAAATAAAAGAAGTAGCTATATATTCTTAGTATTATAGAAGAATAATCTATTGCATACAACTAAGAAGTAATTAATAAGAAAACTAATTATCTATTTATCTTAATCTAAGAATATATAATCAGAGTTTTCTTTAATATTATAAATATAATATAGCATAAGCTGATTATAGAGCTTCTATAGCTCAAGAAGTATAATTCTCAAATTAATTAAATTACTAGCTAGATCTCATAAGAACAAGCTGTATCCAGAGAGATAGTTGCAATTAATAATGCAGAATGAAAGTTAGTTATTGAAGAATACTCGAGAAAAGAAGCTTTAAACAACTTCATATATACTTTCAAACTAGCAAAGCTAGCAGTTCAAGAAGAAGAATCTAGTAATAAACAGATTCAAATAGTGCTAGAGTGCTAACAGATTAGCAAAACAATGAAAGCGAAATTCTTAGCAAGTTGGTTCGCTCCGAAGCAATAAGGAAAAGCTTCAGAATGTAAATTGTAAATCTATACAAGAAAAACCTTGAAACTAGGCTCTTAAGCAGTCAGTTTAGCTTGGAGCGAATGCTTAAAGCTTCCAAAAATGCTATCAAAAACAACAAACGAAAAGAAGCATGCTTAATAATACCTACTGTTTCTTCAGATAGCAGAAACAGTATAGAAATCAGAATCAACACTTGCAAACATACTACGGAAATATTACAAATTCAAGAAATTATTCCAGAAAGAATTGAATACAGGATTGCTAGAATACAGCTTATATTGAATCAGAACTAGGGCGCCGTTGCCCTCAAAAGAAAAAGGAACAAACAGCTGCTGAAGCAATGAGCAAGAGCTCGTACAATCCAAGCATGCTTATACAGATAAGAATAGCAAACTAAGGCTATATGAGCGCAAGAACAGAATGAAAAATCTATCTTAGATCTATTCAAAGGATTCAAAATTGAAAAGAAGAGAAAGAATGCTTCATTTTTTTCCTATAGCTAAAGAATTTGAAAAGTAAGTAGTATTCTTTATATATATGAGAATCCTTGATTCACTATACTTTATATTTCATAAACTATTACTCTGGCTATTATAATAATTCTCTTTTAGCAATTTTCTTCCAAAGTTGTAATAAGTTTAATAGTATGCTAGATCTAATCAAAGAAAGATAAAGTAAAGAAATAAAGAATTTATTGCAAACTGCTAAAGGAAATACTGTAAACCAAACTATTCTTCTAATTCAACTCTTATATCTTTCTCTATTGCTTGAGCTATTATTCAAATCAATGCAGAAGTATTAGTATTCATCTTCAGTTCATTTATAATATAAGCATAATCTGAATAGATTCTAATGCTGATCTCTTCTTTATTCCTATCTGCTTTCAAACTCCGCTTAAGCAGTAGCAGCAGCAGCAGTTCTCTTCTGATTCTATATTCTTATTCAATAGATTCTTTCGCAGTTCGCTTTATATATATTCATCTTAATAGCATGATTGAACTCTATTCAGTTCGGAGAATCTACTGAAGGCCTAATAGGGTTAAGGCTATGAAGCTTATTCTATAGAAGTATATAAGGCTTCTGAGGTTTATTAGAAAAACTGAGAAGCATGATATTGCTGCTTCTCAGTTTCTAATGCAATAGAGCTTTGATAGTATATTCAGATCTAGCTATTTGCTGCATTAATAGATTGATTATTAATTTTAGATTAATAAGCATTTCTTGAGATAAGAAGGAGTAAGAATTAATAAAAGTTCTGAATAATCTCTCTCTCAGTTTACCTTGCCTTTCAATTCATCTTTTATATAACAACTTCTCCTTCTATTAATCTTCTCTTGCTTAGCTCTGCAATATGCTTAAGATATCTCGAATCATTATTAATGCTGTTTTCTTTTTGCATATAAATATCGCTTTTCAAGAGATTAATAAGATCTGAATCTAATTTTCTTTTTCAATTCCTTCTTCTCAGAGCAGCAACTATTACTAGCTCAAGAATATCTATATCAACTTTCTTAATATTATAAACTTTAATATTATTAAGAGAAATCTTAGCTTAATATATGCTTTTTGGAATATTCAAAGCGATATTATATTTTGAAACAACTTATTGCTAAGCTCTAATTTTGCTGCTTATTTTGCAAAGCTAAATAATAAGAATTCTATTAAACTGAATTCTATTGTAATATATAAAGCTGGTTGAAAGCTCTTTAGCAAGTATTTTATTTATATCTTCTCCTAATCTGAGCAAGTAAATTCTCTTCTTATTCAGTTCTATAATTAGCATAATCTAGTTCCTTGCAATTGCTGCTCTTGTTAGTATGCTACTATTTGTATGC